GTTTAACTCAACATGGTACAAGATAACCCTTATTTCAAGGTGTGAAGAAGCTTGTCCTTGGATCAAACCGAGTTAAATATCTTTCGCAAGTAATCTAGATTGAACCAAATTAGGAAAATAATCCTCACTTCACATGGTTTCACCCCAACCTATCTAAAATTTAAACTTGCTTTTGTGCTAATTGTTGACAAAGGGGGAGAGAAGTTCACAAAGATAGTAAGATAGGGGGAGCAAACAAATGAAATGACATTATAAGGGGATCAGTGTACATAAGTAGGGGGAGCAAGCTCATAAACTTGTATGTTGCATTTGAATGTGCATTTCACATATTTGCTTGCATGGCACAAGTTTTTAATTTCAATATCCATGCTTGTGTGGTGTATGCTAGTTGTAGGATTGAATGATGAAATGAAAAACTAGCATGCATAGGTTAAGTAACTAGACTCATGCTTACATTATGAAAACTAGCCCCTTACTTCTAATGTTGATCTCACGAGGTATTCTAGTTTTTGTGTATGTCTAGTTACTAATGATGCTAAAGATGGTATATTGGTGCACTCCAAATGGTATCACGCTTCAAAGGTCCATCTCTTATACCTTAGCATCATATGGTAGACATTGACTCCTATATTTCCTATCTAAGCATATGTGCAAGCTACAATCCAAACTCTTAGCACATATATAGGGGGAACAATTGCTACCATTTGAGATTCATGAAACTTGTCCATATTCTTTTACATAAGTTAAAATGCTTGGGCAAACAACATGGATTCAATTAAAATTCAATTCATATATTTGTGTAAGGGCTGTCATCAATTACCAAAAAGAGGGAGATTGAAAGCTCTAGTTTGGTTTTGGTGAATTGATGAAACCCTAAGTGCTAACCTAGTTTATCAAAGTGATTATGAGATAGGTGGCACATTCCAAGTGGTGGAGTAAATGAAGATCATGACATGATGATGGTGATGCCATGGTGATGATCAAGCGCTTGGACTTGAAAAGAAGAAAGAGAAAAACAAAAGGCTCAAGGCAAAGGTATAAGTGGTAGGAGCCATTTTATTTCGGTGATCAAGACACTTAGTGAGTGTGATCATATTTAGGTTCGATAGCCGTACTATTAAGAGGGGTGAAACTCATATCGAAATGCGGTTATCAAAGTGCCACTAGATGCTCTAACTCATTGCATATGCATTTAGGATCTAGTGGAGTGCTAACACCCTTGAAAACATTTGTGAAAATATGCTAACACATGTGCACAAGGTGATACACTTGGTGGTTGGCACATTTGAGCAAGGGTTAGGAACTTCACTGGCGGAGTGTCCGCCCGTAGAGTGCGGACAGTCCGTAGTGTATACAGAAAAGACGGAGGTCACTGTAAGTGACCGAACGCTGGTCTCGGTAGGACCGGCGCGTCCGATCAGTAGAAGTAGCAAAGACGCTAGCATCGGTCTCTGACCAAACGCTAGGTCACTTAGTGACCGGACGCTGGAGGGGTGCGTCCGGTCCTGCTGATGTGGCAGTGCACAGTGGTGACGCCGAGTGACCGGACGCTGGGTGAGTCCGGTCGGGCATGACCGGATGTGTCCGGTCGTGATTTTTCGCTTCTGGATGCTTACTTGAAATGACCGGACGCTGAGGTCCTGCGTCCGGTCACTTTGAAGCAGCGCGTCCGGTCACAACTTAAACATTCTGATGACCGTTGAGATCGGGTGATCAGCGTTTGAAGCAGGGGACACGTGGCACACATCGCGTGACCGGACGCTAGGGTCCAGCGTCCGGTCGATCTAACCTGCGTGTCCGGTCATCCCGTTTTCTAGTGGACTGAGGAGCCAACGACTCTATTTTGTGGGGGCCTCTATTTAAGCCCCATGGCCGGCTTAAGCCCACTCTCTTGGCCATTTGCATTGACAAAGCAACATTGTGAGCTTAGCCAAAGCTCTCCCACTCATCTCCATCATTGATCCATCATCATTGTGAGATTGGGAGAGAATCCAAGTGCATTACTTGAGTGATTGCATTTAGAGGCACTTGGTATTCGTGTTTTGCTGTGGGATTCACTTGTTTCTCTTGGTGGTTGCCGCAATCTAAATGGCTTGGAGCAGCGAGGATCGTTGAGCGGAGGTTGGTGATTGTCTCCGGCTCCGATCATGGTGATTGTGAGGGGTCTTGTGCCTTTCCCGGCGGAGCGCCGAAAGGTAACTCTAGTGGATTGCTCGTGTCATTGAGTTACCTCACTTGTGGGTAGGTTCTTGCGGTGTCCTATTGTGTGGACGAGGTTCGTGCAACACCTCTTAGCCGCCGAACCACCAAGTGTTGGTCGACACAACGGGGACTAGCGTGCTGACAAGCACGTGTACCTCGAGAGAAAAATTGGTTGTCTCTTGCCCTTTGGTATTCTCCCGGTGATTGATTTAGTATTCATCTTGTGATTGGTTCACTCCTCTACACGGCGCTATAATCACCCTACTCACTCATTTATATTCTTGCAAATTAGTTGTAGCAAGCTCTTTAGTGTAATTAGAATTGAGAACTTGCTTTATTGTTTTAAGTTCATCTAGTGAAGCTCTTTAGTGTAGCAAGTGTGAGAGCTCTTAGTGAGTAGGGACAATGCAAATTGTGTGTCTAGAGATCATAGCAACTAGACTTGTTGGATAGGTGGCTTGCAACCCTTGTAGAGCTAAAGCAAGTTTATATTTCGCTATTTGTTATACTAATCAAATTGCTCTAGTTGATTTGTAGATTTTTAAATAGGCTATTTACCCCCCCTCTAGCCATATTAGGACCTTTCAGGTGGCACCGCCCTAGGGGTGGCGATGACCTCCCAAGCCAATCACCCGAAAACCTTGCTCTCTAGAAAAATAGGGCGGTGCACCGCCCTACGCATGGCGGTGCCCAGGCGGTGACCAACCCCACTTCGGCTGCTCTCGGTTAAAAAGTGGTGGTGGCACCGGACAGCCCCCGGCGGTGCACTGTTGTGCACCCGGCGGTGTACACAGTGGTGTTCGGTGACAACACCTTCTCGACTGCTCGGGACCGAGGCCAGGTGGGCACCGCCCTAGGGGTGGCGGTGCCACCGTACAAGCAGTGACGATGCCAACCCCAACTCCTTCTCGGCCGAGGCCAACCAGTCACTGCACTAGAGGTGGCGGTGCACCGGACAGGGGGTGATAGTGCCCACAGAGGCAGCACCTCATCCCCTACTTTGCCTCCTTTGATTCCTTTGCAAATGTGCCAACACCCCAATTGTTTCACCATCACGTGCGAGTGTGTTAGCATTTTCACAATCAATTTTTCAAACGTTAATCACTTCTCACCGATTGTGCACTGGGCCTAAAATGCAAATGCAAGTTTTCCAACACCTAGTGGCACTAGATGATCGAGTTGTCCGATAAGAGCTCCCTTCTTAATAGTACGATCATCTATCCTAAATGTAATCACACTATCTATAGTGTCTCGATCACCAAAACAAAATGACCCTATCACATATACCTTTGCCTTGAGCCCATTTTGTTTTTCTCTTTTTTCTTTTCCAAGTCCGAAGCTTGATCATCATCACATGTCCACAGCATCACCATGGTCTTCATTTCATGTGGCCATCTCCATCCATGAGTGCCACTTAGCTCCATCAATTGGGTTGGACCAACCTATCTCAAATCCGCACTTAGAGCATAGGGTTAGTTCAAATAGGTTTCATCAATTATCCAAAATCAAACTAGGGCTTTCAATGTCGCCTACAAGCATCTCCAGGCCATTGCCTTCGGTGAACACCAGACACCAACGAGCCTCCATTCTGACGAGCAACAAGGAAATGTTTCATTGAAAGCGCATGTTGCAAGAGTATGTTTTAATTGTTTCAGATGTTTTAGAGGTATGTTGCAAGTGTGCTTACTTGGATGTTGCATATATTTTACGCATATGTTGCAAGAGTACATTCGAAATGTTTCAGTTGTTTGAGTCTTATGCTCCAATAAGTGTTTTCATGTTGCAAGTTGTTTATCTGGATGTTGTATATGTTTCACACACATATTGCAAGTGTATCTTTCAAATGTTTCATCTACTTCAGACGTATGTTGCATTCAAGTGTTTTCATGTTGCAAGTGTTTCGTGTTTCAGAGGTATGTTCAGAGAGTCATGGGACACGGCCAGGGCACCGAGGGAAGGGCGCGGCGAGCCGGGGGCCGGCGGATGGGGCGCGCGGCGCGCCCTGGGTCCACAAGGACGGGGCATGCTCATCCTCATCCCGAGTCCCGCCCACGCAGAGAGAGAGGAGGGGGTCAGGGGGAAGGAACGGCGGACGCGAGGCGAGGCGAGGCGAGACGGACGGGGGTGGGGTACGCGTGTGTGGCAGGACGAGGCAGATGGGAAAGGACTGCAACAATATGGTGAGAGTGCGGCTCATTTCTGCTTGGCCGTTCGGTACCGTCTTATGGAACCATATCCCATCGGACATCCAGGCCTCAGAAATTCCCCTTCCAGAATCACTTCAAACACTTCTCACTAGCTCCCGCACCAAAGTCACTCAATCAGACAATCATAAAGCTGAAGCTAAGAATTTACAGAGCGAAACTTTACCAAACATGACTTTATCATGTTCGTGTATACCTAACTACTCTGAGAAGTAGCTGATCGTGTAGCACATGGGCCAGCGAATTTATTTTTACCGGCACACGAACGCCTTAACCAGTAGATCTTGACACTGCAGAATTTCCTCTCGCATTTGCCTTAACGAGAACATCCTCAATGAACCACGAGTAACACAGAAAATAATCCCGCATTTTGCTTGTTGCATTTGTACCACCGCTCTTGACAACTGAATTTGGTAGAGCAATGCATGCACTCTATGGTTACAGATCCAGTATATGTTGGGGCGACAAGAATCATGTACCCAGAAAGGTTAAAACAACAGAGCTCATTTTCCAGGTTCTGTCTTCTGTCAGTCGGTTCAGTGGGAATGCTTCCATCCACAAATTAGTAAAAACAGTCACTACGATGTCCTACTCCTAAATCCATATCACTTTGTCCAGCCATCTTGGTGGTCTCAGTGACGACTTTATCCCAAGCTTTGTCAGGAACACCGTATACATTATATGCAGGAGGAAGACGAAGAACGCACAATTAAATAGAAGCTGCAATAGAAAAAGAAAGATTTAGAATTCCAAGCAGCACGTTTAGCAAGCCCTGCTTATCAGGTCAGGAATTACCAGTGTCCCAAAGAGTACATATATTGCATCCATGGAAGGAATCGTGTTCACACCAGCTGCCGTCAGGATATATGTCAAGGAAGCATGAATGTTAACCGTTATCTGAAATTGAATACAAGTTACTGAATAAACCAATTCATTTTTACTCCCATCTACTCTTAATGTTGAATAAGGGAGTACAGGTACCAGTGCAAGAATATTTTCTCTTATCAGAAACGATGACACTAGCACATAACCACAAGCTCCCAGGGCACGGGCCTATAAGACAGACTGCAGTATTAGACTCAGTTTGTTCCATACTGTACAACAACAGAGATCGATGCAACTTCAGAGATCACTTGACAAAATTTCCTAAGAAATTCAGACTTTGATCTTATGAAACTGGTAAGGAAAACTGACTGGTAGTATCAGTTTATTTCTTACACTCTAAAAAGTAGCAGTTTATTTCTACTTAATGCTCTGCAGTTTTGAAATTTTGACCCTTCTCCTTTACTGACACATGAACTATTCTGCCGACATCTTTTTATCAGTGACCAACAGGCCACCACGGCTCTTATACAATTGTGAAGTTTCACTGTTCATATTCTCATATGAGAAATGAAGATAAGAACAAAGAAAGCGGGCAACGTGTAGGTCCTTGGTTCTGTTTTAAATAGTAAAATCTGTGTGGTCCTTAAACTTGTCCCAAAGTACCATTCAAATTCCTAAATCTTAAACTGCACACTTGGGTCCCCTAAAGTTGTTGAGTGATAGCTCCTAATGTATGTCCACAATTAGCATTTACATTCATACATTTGTGGTGATTTGGCAGTTCTTGAGCGATGCTGTTAGAGTACGTCAGGGGCCTATTGGGCCTAGGTTGGCTGTATAGCCCATTAGTATTAGGGTTAATTAGAGATAAGAGTCGCTTACTTGAGGGTCAAGTAAGCCTTGCTTGGGAGTGAAGTAAAGCTCTCTATATAAGGAGAGGAGATGTATCGATCTAATCAAGCAAGAATTAAAAAGGAAATCCCTTCCCTCTTGCTCGGCCATGGGCAAGGCCCCCGGCCTCCCTAGCAGCCCCAGCCGCCACTGTAGCACTACGGGTACTGTAGCCCATCCGTCGCCGCCTCTCCCTCAGCTCTCTCCCTCTCAATCCTAGCAGCCACATAACAGATGCAGTGTAAGCATGTTCATGGTAATGAGCAATAAACCTCGTGTGCAAGAGTTAACAAGTTTAAGGACCTTGATCACATCCAGGGACAAGTTTAAGGACCTACTCCTCGTTTTAAAAGGCCTTGCAAGGATATGACAAGAACCTAACACCAACATTAATAAGATTTAAAACTATAACAATGCTTTAAGCTAGACAATTTGATTGTTATATGTAGAACTGTAAATTTATGCCTGAATGCCTAAATAACTCTATTGAAAAACTTGGTAGTGAGGCTACAGGTTTGTACCCAGAGGTCATGACCTTTTAGAATGCCATGTACAATCTATACGGGTCAGCAAGATAATTAAAACAAAGACAGAGAATTTACAATGGAGCAGAGGAGGATGGAAACAATCCAATTGATCTCCAATCTGATGATACAGGAAAGAATGTCATCACTTGCTGGTGAAAGAAGCCAATGGTGAAAGCAGAAGCTTCAATATTTAACCTCTGTACTTCTCACCTCCAAACAGTACCCATGATGAGACCAACTACTCCATACATAAGCTGCAAAATAGTGCAAGGAGTGCAATTCAGCCTGAGTGCAGAATAATTAATTCTTTAAATCTCACATAAAAGTAGTTAAAATGTAACATGTGTTTAGGAGAAATTGACTACACGAATCATAACTGGAATAGTATAAGAGATACTGCCGCTAGGTGATAGATAAACCCAACTGTTACTGCTTGAAACATGTAATCTAAGAGGATCTTTTACAGAGAACAATGTTTTCTTTTTGTAATAAGCGTTGTCTAATGTTTTCCTTGAATGGAATGCTATTATTCATTTCATTGTTGGCTTTGCCAATAAAGCACCCAAGTCAACAACAGCACTGATGGTTAACATGGAAATATGACAATAGTTAAAAAGTCTTAGATGTTTTAACCACACAGTTGCCACTGAACCTACTTACTCATAAGACAGAACTTTACGTACCAGATAAGTTGATGCTTTTACAGGGCCAGATAATGTGAATAGCAGTAAGACAGTAGCCACCTGGTGAAGCATTTCAAGAAACAGCTATATAAATTTGACAAAAGAAAAGAAAATAAGTGAACAATTTAATTGGACTTACCACAGTTTTCCTGCCAGCTTCTAGTCCCCATCTTAATGAGGAAATGACTATCGGCAATGGGAAAAAGCAACTGAAATAATTCTGCATCAGCATAAAACAAAAGAGTAAATTTGTGTCATAGGCATAGGGTGACAATCAATTCTGCACTAAACATGTCAAAAAGACCCATAACTTGCAAATGCCATAAAAAATGGCAGAAACTCTGATGCCATCCATCACCTTCTGATGCTGCTCCATATGCTATGCTACCAATAGTGTACCAGCACAGCAGCATTGGCTCGATGAATCATGAAAGCTAAGCATGGAAACATTGTAACCACAGAACAAGCAAACCCCTCCCCACCCAAATCCTCGTTCAATGTTTCCGATTGTCAGTTCAGTTCGATACTTCGATGGCATTTGTACCGAACGCATGGCCGGCGAGGGGATTCATTTGCTAAGTATTGTAACAACGCAAACTAGGAAGACAGACAGACTGACACAGACTGACGACCGGCAGAGAGGAAGGGAGGAAGGAAGGGGAGCAGAGCAGAGCAACCTCAATGGCGAGGGAATTGCTGAGGAAGTAGGCGAGCCCCGCGACGGCCGCGAACATGGCGCACTCCACGAGCTCCCGCGTCCTGGAGAGCGCATCCCCGAGGTCCGCCTTGCCACCGTCGTCATGACCCTCCGCGTGCCCCCACTGCTCCTCGCGCGCCGCCGCCGCCGCCGCTAACCGAGGAGGGCCTGGAGCGGGAGCTCCGGGGACGGAGAAGACGGCGAGCGGGCTCCTGAGGCCCCGCGAGGAGGCGGTGGCCGACTGGCGGCACGCGGCGGCGGGCCGCGGCGGTGGCGAGAGTAGGCGGGGCTGGGGGCAGCGGTGCAGGCGGGGCTGGAGCATAGTCCTGCTCCTGCGCCGCCACGGCCTCCACCGAGCTCCGTGAACGGATGAGATGGAAGGAAGAGACGAGACCACGAGGGGAGGAGAAGAAGGGTGAGGCCTTCGTCCCACTGGCGTTGGGACCCATTGCTTTGCTTGGGTCAGTCTGTCAGTGACTAAGAGATGTGTGCGTTCAGTTGGCAGGCAGACGCTCTGACATATGGGACCCACAATGTCAATGGCGGGTTTGATTTTTTCTTCTTTTCTTTCTGATGATGAACGATTTTTCTTGCCACGTCGGTATAATAATGTCGATCAAGATGTAAAAACAACTACGTTGATATTGCCCCGTAAATGGTCTTAAATAGTGCCTACGTAATTATGAGATGAACTATCAGTACAATTTGTGCATTATTATTGTCTTTTAAGTTACCTCATAGTAACTATATAGCCCTTAACTTCTGTATAAAATAAATGAATATTTATGAGTTGCACGACAACAACTAGTTGTAGAATGATGTATAATTTGTCTCATAGTTGTTAATTTTAGCTTATGAGATGGTTGCTTTACGAAACAACCACCCTCTTTCTCTTACCTCTCTCTCATCCACGTCATCAAAAATCTAAGAGAAAATTCCTTATTTGATACTGGAAAAATGAGTCGGTTCTTTTTTGGTCCTGAAATTTTTTGTGTTCCTATTTAACACTCACTCTAACTTTTATCCCTAATATCACACTACCATCCGTTCCGTTGTTCCTATTTAACACCCACTCCAACTTTCATCCATAATATCATACTACCGTCCGTTCCGTTAGAGACCCGGGACACGCTGTCAGATATTTTTATTGGGGTCAAATTTACCCTCCATCGAATCTCTCCCGTGCGTGTGCGTCTCCCATCCTCTCTCCCGTGCGTGAGTGTCCCAGGCTCGAACCCTAGACCAATCCGGCGGCGGGCTAATTCCTGGCGATGGTCGGCCGTCGGCGACAAGATGGAAGGAGATCCGGTGGGGGAGGATGTGGATCCGGCCGATGGCTCCCTCGGGCGGGGCGTGGCGGCGGCGACGAGCGCCCCCCCCCCCCCCGGCGGCGAGCCCCCTTCGGCCGGCGCGCGCTCCCCACAACCAGCTCAACCGCGCGGGATTGGATCTCGACCGTCGTCGCCCCGCGAGATGAGCCACAACGACCCCGACAGCTCCTCCGCCGGCGCCTGCGCCGGCGTGGACGCGCTGTCGCTGGACCTGCTCGCGCACACGCTGGCGGGCGGGCGCGACCCGCGTGACCACAAGTCCTACCGCCTCGCCAACCACGCCTTCGCGCGAGCCGAGGCCTGTCCCACTATGTCACCGCTGAGGACAGGGAGATGGCCGCCCTCGTCGCTGCCGCGGGGCTCAGGGAGCTCGTCATGGACAAGTGCCTCGGCATCACCAACGTCGGGCTCGCCAAGGTCACCGTCGGGTGCCCCGGTCTGGAGAAGCTCAGCGTCAAGTGGTGCCTTGAGATCTCCGACATTGGCATCGAGCTGCTCTCCAAGAAGTGCCCCGAGCTTCGCAGCGTTGACATCTCCTACCTCAAGGTAGCATCCCTGAAATTCATATCAGTCTCTTTGGTCAGTAGTACGATTGGTCTGAAGCCTCTGATGGATTCAATTGAAAATGACTGTGACTTGACCTGTCGAGAATTCAGAAGTGTTCAATCATCTGTGAACTGACTAGAATGGGGGACAAATGTGGCAATGCTAGTAGGATGTTGTTTGCTTAAAAACATTAAGATTCTTCTTAGAGTTTAATAGTTTATGAGATTGTTCCCTTGCCAACATAGATGCTATTTCGCGTGCGCGAATCAAGTGAGCTCCAATTTCTTGTCTCTTGTTTTGCAGGTGAGCAATGAATCCCATAGATCACTCTCCACTCTCGAGAAGTTGGAGGACATAACAATGGTCTGCTGCTTGTTTACAGACGATGATGGCCTACAGATGCTAAGCGCAGGCAACTGGCTGAAGGTAATCACCTTGCAGCATGTAAGTAGAGTTCATTTGCTCTTTTTGCTCTTTTGAGTACTCATGATGCAAATGAATGCCATTTAGCAGTCAAATTCACACAGCCAGTGATTGTTCACCTTCTGCTTTACACTTGCAGGAGCACTACCAGGAACAGCACCAGCAAAGCAACAACAATAGCAACGAATGCAGTAACCCCACAAACGACAGCAACAGCCGCAAGAGAGGCAGAAGACAACGAAGAAATTTTACCCTAGAGATCAAGGCACAGTTAGCTGCAAACTGATTATAGGAGAATTAACCCCCTTTTTTCTCCCTTTATTTATTCTTTGTTTTACATAGCTTTTGGCAAACTAATTTGTAACACAAGAGAATTAACCCCCTTGTTCATATGAACTTGCTATATCATGTGTCATTATCATGCTGTGTAAATATTGAAAAAATGTTGTATAAACGTCTTACAAATCATGCTGTTGTATCATGTTGAAAAAAAGAGAAAAAAAACGGCATCCCAGCGTCTTCACACTGGCCACCAGCAAAAAGAGAAAAAAAAAACAGCGGCCAGCCTGCATGCGGCGTGTCTAGCAAAATTGAGAAAAAAGAAGAAGAGAGCACCCAGCAGCCAGATACGCTTCTTGCATGCGCCCAGGGCCCAGCGTTTGCATGCGTCTAGAGGAAAAAATGTCTTTTTAACAGACAGTGGATTTGACTGCGGTGTCATATCAGGATGAAAGTTGAAGTGAGTGTCAAATAAAGAACGAAAAAAAATTCAGACCCAAGAAAAGAACGACTTATTTTCCTAATATCAAATGAGGAATTTTCTCAAAATCTAACGTGGCATCACATGAGATGAACTTTGAAATTACTTACGTGTATCAATGTACTTGCCCTAATCCGATCAGAAGTAGCGCCAATGTGACGAAAGAGGCTCAGATTTGCAAGATACTGGACGTTTTTGTATAGTGATGGGAGGCCCAAAGACTTTTTTTTAATAGTTGAGGAGGTAATATGGGCTCATCATTCTTTTAATTAATTAATTAAGCTCGTCATTCACCTGGCACATACTATACTACCTTCTGAATGCAAAGAATACAATTCTAATTGCATACTTCTATACCTAGTCAAAATGTTTAAAGGTACACTAGCTTTACAGAAAATAATTACCAATATTTTTCCTCTAAATAAGGATGAATCCGGATTTCCATTATCTTAAAAAATTACCAATATTCATGACACTAAACAGATATATTATAATAGTACATTCCACCATGAATTTAATATAAGCATTCATTTTGCGTGGATGATTAGTCTACGGAATAACAAAGAATAACAAATGGGGTAATAAAATGAGAATGCGTTGCTCTCCAAAAGAAAATGTAAAGATATAAAAAAAGATATTGACCACAATAGTCTTAGCAACTTGCATCTACCTGCTACGCAAACGCGTCAAGAAAGCAGTCGCTGTTCTGGATGGCATCTCATAGCAGGCACATATCGCCTTGGAAACCCTCGGATCGGTACCATCAACCCACAAGAAACCGACGAATGGTGCGTGCGTGAATGGGTCATCGACAGAAACAGCCCGAGCTCTCTGACCTCTTCTTCCCTTTTCATGGCGGTGCACGAGACGAGACGACTCCATGTGGAGGCCGGCCAGGCAACGCGTGCAACGCCAGTTGCCAGATCTTTCCTGCAGACCCAGCAAACGCCAGCAGACCCAGCAAACGCCAAAACCCTACACGCTTAGTTTCACTGTCCTCTTCAACCACTACCTTAGCTGAAACTGACCCCGTTCGCTGGTCTGAAACTTAGCTGAAACTAGCTGAAAAATATTGTTCTAACTGAAGGACTGTTTAGTTCCAAAAAATTTTCACCCCAAAATATCACATCGAATCTTGCGGCACATGCATGAAGTACTAAATGTGGACGAAAAAAAACTAATTGCATAGTTGGGTGAAAAATCGCAAGACGAAACTTTCGAACCTAATTAGTCCATAATTAAACACTAATTGCCAAATACAAACGAAAGTGCTACAGTAGTCAAACCCAAAAAAAAATCGCGAACTAAACAGGCCCTGAATTGTTGTGAGAGAAAAAATACTGTTTCGGCTGAAAAAACAAGCCAAACAAACAAAATATAAAGTAAGCCGAACGGGGCCTAAAGATTTATATATTTCTCTAATGAAGAAATGCATCCCAGCACATCAGACATCACCCAGCATGAGACATTTCAAAGGCTTGCATGCAACACCCAAAAGAATGGAAATTTGTGCTCGTTTAATAGTCCAACAGAACTAATCCTCGGATCTGAACATATGTATGTATATATATATAGCAAAAATAAAAGAACAAAAGAACTACTTTAGCTCATCATAACAGTATCAGTTTGGACAAAAAGGCCCTAGCCATTTCAGAATCCCCCCTTTTCCCAGCAGCTCTGACTTCTGAGGATGAACCACTGCAGTCAGGAACTGATACAAAGCAAGAATTCCATTCCATGTGCGACAATGAATCCGGCAAGAGCTTCAGGGGAAGGTGAACGACCCACCGATCTGCTGGTTCCCAGACGGCGGGTTGATGGCGACCCACAGCAGGGAGATGGTGATGGAGAGGAGCCCCGCCCAGACGAAGACGATGGTGGGCGTGCGGCCCCTGCGCCCCATGAGGCCCTTGGCGAATGGGTACAGGTGAGCCAGCACCCAGAAGCTGAAGAAGACGCCACCCAGCAGCTTGCTCCACTGCGGGATCTCACTGTAGATGGTGCGGCTGAAGCCCACGGCGATGGCGATCAGGTTCACCATCATGATCACGATGGGCGGGATCATCAGCGACGTCCACTTGACGATGTACAGGTCCGCGAACTCGTCATCCACGTCGTCGCCTCCGGACTTTGACGTCAGCGTGAAGGAGATCTCGATGCCCGCCACCACCTTCAGGAGGCCCTGCAGCACGGCCGCGAGGTGCGCGCTCGTGCCGCCGATCAGCCAGAACTGCTCGTTCCGCCACCACTCCTCCAGGCTGATCCCTGACCACTTGATCTCCAGCACTGCCAGAAGGCACAGCATCAACGTGATCCCCAGCAGGTACGTCAGGAATGCCACGTTGAGAGTCTTCACGATGAACTGCCCTGAGAACAGGGACAGCGCCGGTAGGAAGCAGTAGACGATCAGGAAGATGGACGTGAATGGGTAGATGCCGACGTTCAGGTAGGCGATCCTCTGGAGGAACTTCATCCTGCGGCTTGCAAGCAGCGCATTGTTGCGGGAGAAGAAGATTTCCACCGAACCAGTAGCCCACCGGAGCACTTGGTGGAGACGGTCAGTCAGATTGATGGGTGCGGTGCCGCGGAAGGCGTCACGCTTGGTGACACAGTACACAGACTTCCAACCACGGTTGTGCATCCGGTACCCAGTGACCACATCCTCTGTGACTGAACCATAGATCCAACCAACACGGTGGCCCCACTCGGTCTTGTCTTCGTACCAGCATGAGATGACACTGATGGCCTCAGCAACTGTGGATGCATCAAGAAGGTCACGGGGAACAGTGAGAGCACCTGGAGGACGGCCATTCTTGACACCAGGGTGATCAGCTAGCGGGCGCCCTTGGAATTCAGCAATTGGGATGGAGTTGATGAGGAAGTTCGAGTTACCAAACTTCTTGGGGAATGATGACATGTTCATTTCATCCTCATCAAAATCTGCCATCCTTAGAGCCCGGGTCTCCTCCGGTGCAGCAGCTGAAGCTTTGATCTTGCGTCTCTGGGGAAAGCAACAGCTGCAGCAGCCACCATGTTCCTTGGAGCGCGGAGGGTCAAATCCATATAGGGCGACACGGCGGAAAAGACAGCCAGTGCCCACATAGACTGGCCCCATGATACCATCCAGTGCGCGCATGTTGACATCAAAGAAGACAGTGTTGTGGTTAGCATAGCGATCTGATGGATCAATGCCCTCAAACCGCTGCGGGAACTGAACATAACCAATACGGTCGCCACCACGGTCCATCATGAAGCACATGCCCTCGCGGAAAGCTTGCGAGTTGTAGACATAGTGATCACAGTCGAGGTTGAGGATGAAGGGGCCATTTGACATGACAGCAGATGAACGGACTAGGGCATTCATTGCACCAGCCTTCTTGTTGTGGTCATAACCAGGGCGCTTCTCTCGGGACACATAGACCAACATTGGTAAACGAATGTCGACCTCAGTGAAATCAAGAGGTCTGCCTTCATCACCAGCGCTGCCATACAAGGGATCATCACTGGGAGGTTTCAGCATCACCTGAAGCACAGAACAATAATGAATTAGGTGCTTGTTTTTCTTGTCAAATACTATAGTAGCAGAATCAATTAGATTTCCTACTGAGTACATGCAGCTACCTAACTTGTTAACAATACCACGTCAACAATGTATGTTATGATACATTTTCTTTCTTTATGTACAGAAGAATCGACAGAGTAGAATTAGGACATGTATGTAAGAGAAGATGCATATACCTGAATTATTCCAGCATGATCACCACGGGTATGCTCGGCAGAAGGTTGAATCCAGGTACCAGGCCAATGAGTGCCATCAGCCATCCAGGTGGCTTTAGGGATCTTAACAGGCTCTACTGCATCATCAAGAGCAGTCTCTCGCTGCCTCTTCATAGCCTTGATTTCCTCCCTGGCATGGTACGCATCAGAGCGTCGGCGTATCGAGTCAGGCAGCGCATTGATCCTGACCTTGAACTCATCATACTCCCTCTTAACCCTCCTCCTGTCCTTGACAAAATCCTGGCGAACCTTGTTCTTGTATGGGTCCTTCTTAAGATTGAAGTAGCTTTCAGGATTACGAGGCTCAATGTTGTGCTTATGCGACAGAAAGGAACCCACATATTAGCAAAGCTAGCAGCTTCAGCCATGGCTTCAAAAGTCAGGAGCGCCCTCCATCATCAGAAACATAGCAAGAAAGCTTCTCCACAGGGTAGTCAGCAGCAAGGATGGACAGGATGGTGTTTGCTGTGACCAGTGGAGGTTCTTTCTCTGGATCAGCAGTGGACACAAATATATCAAGCCCTGGTAAATCTGATCGTCCAGTAGGGTTCGACGGCGTTGGGGTCTCAAACTTGTCTTTCAGGACAGCAAGGTCGGTTGCTCGGTTCACAGGGCACAGCTTTGGCAGCTGGTCGAGCAGCCATGAAAAGCCAAACCAGAGTTCACAGACAACAGACATGCCCCAGAGCCAAATTGCATCCTCATTCTTGTGCTGAATTCTCCACATAAGGAATAGAGCAAGGACGGCCATGCGGATAAGAATGAGAAGCCTGCAGGAATCACCAGAACTGCCAAGGTTAATCTACAGGACATTGTTACTATATATGAAACATTTGCACGTCTATTTTGCTGGAAACAAAGGGTATCTGGACTATCTGATGAAGTTATAAATTTAATAATGCACAAGTTGGGAAGCATTCTGCAATTTCAACAGCAAATACAAAAAAGGTTTGAATATAGAGCTAGCCATTATTGGGTTCAAATGTTTGGAACATGGTAGAGATCAGATAGTACAGGACAGATCTAAGAATCTAACAACTCACCAAACCTACTAGTTTGTTCAACAGATCACAACAACTGGGACTAATCTACACAACCAGGTCTAACCAAAGTTTGACTCAGAATCAGGGTGGAATATTTCTTTATATATGAACGCAAATAAAAACCACCAAGTGGATCACAGATAGAACAATGCATTTCAAATTCAAACCAGCCTTGTGTGCGCACATGAATGATGAATCCAATCACGATTGAAGAGAAAAACAAACTTCAGTCGGGTAGGTAAAGGCATGCATTTACCTGTATGGGCTGAGTATGGCAGCAGGGATGGGAAGCTTCCGAGTGAGCGGCCTCCATGGCTTGGCGGTGAACTCGGCCGGCTGGCCATCAGCTCCTCCACCACCGAGGCCGCCTCCGCCCATGCCTCCGGCGTCCACCTCATTCTCCTTGGGCCAGATGGCATTGCCATAGCCATACGTGCCCTTGGTCTCAAAGAGCCAGCGGTTGTGGTCCCAGTCTCCGGTCTGGCTCCTGGTCATTGCCTTCTGGGAGCGCATGATGAGAGAGGCGCCTCTCCATCCTGGACGCGGCGGCGCCAGGCGGCGGAGGCAGCGACAGCGTGGGCCCTAGCACCGACGGCATCGGCAGCGCCGACGACGTCCTCGAGCTCCGTGTTCTTGTAGGGCTCCTTACACCCGGGGCAGACGGCGCCGGCGTTCTTGACGGCGTCCGCGAAGCACTCGGCGCAGATCTTGAAGTCGCACTCGCAGGGGGTATGTCGTCGCCGCGCTCGTCGCTCGCGACCTTGTCGTCGCATCCGTTGACAGCGCAGGAGGAGCCCTTGGCGCCCGCCATCTGCGGGTGGGAGGCCTCGGAGTCGGTGACCTTGTCCATGAGGTGCGCGCGCGTGACGCTGTTGAAGCCGCCCGTGAAGAGCGAGTTGGAGACGTACTGCTCCTCCACGCGCGCCGAGATGGCCGGGTCCATGGGCTGGTTGTCGGGCGTCGCCGGGATGTGCACGTGGTAGCTCGCGTACTGCTGATGCTGTTGCTGCTCCTCGCGGTCCGGGGACATGTCGCCGCCGATGCCGAGGTCGCTGTCGAGGTCGTCGCGCGAGTAGCTCACGTAGCGGCCCGAGTGCGTGCGGCGGGCGAAGGTGACCATGGGACGGTCGCCGGGGACGGCCGCCTGCGCGCGGGCGTCGTCGCCCGCGCCCCCGCCGGAGTAGGACATCCGCGAGAGGCGGCTGCTGTTGCTGTGGCGGAGTCCCCCGCCGTTGGAGGCCATGGCGGCCGGTCCTGGTGCGGCACTGGATTGAGCTACGGATCCGTCAGTGGTGGGTGATCTGCGGAGGAAGGGGAGGAAGCGGAAGCGTCAGGGACATGAATCAATCAATGAATCGACTCAATCGAGTACCAGTAGTAGTCAGTCAAGAACGGCAGATTTTGCTGGGGAAGGAAAGGAAAGGGCTGGAGAACGAACGGAAAGCAAATCCTCCGACAGGGACCGAGAAATCAAGCCGAAATCCCCGGGTCCAGGATTGAAAGCAAGAAGCAGCGCGCACGCAGATTCAGATGGCGGCCGGAGAAGCAGGGACGGAGGAAGGCAGAGGGGGAGGATGCAGAGGGCGGTGGTTCTTACCATCCGAGATGCGATGCGAGTGGAGTCGGAATCTGTGGAGCTCCGAGCTCCAAGCTCCTCCTCTTTGAAGGACGAACGGAATGGAGTTGAATGAAGTAACTAGAGCAGCGGTAGGAAGGACAGAAAGAAGAAGCGAAGGGACGAGGAGGAGAGGAGAGGGCGGCGGTGGCAAATGAATGAAGCGGAAGGGGAAGCGCCGGGTACTAGTACTAGTAGGCAGCCGTGGGGACGGGATTGGGGGGTGGTTTGGTGAGCTCAGAGGCCGGGTGGGGGACAGAGGGAGGAAGAGTGGAAGCTGGAAGACGAAGTCCACAGGAAGAGAGAGCAAGACACAGAGACGAGGACAGTGGACAACACGGGCGAGGGACGCGGATTTGGGTTGGGTGGGAGGAAACGAGACGAAACGGGCAACGGACGCGGCGCGGCCTCGCTCACATCACATGGGGGTTGGTCCTCGGAGACGACGAGGGAGGACGGAGGATGCTTGCAGGCGGTGCTTAAAAATTTCAAACAAAAGGGGGACGGGGACACACTGATCGCGATTGGTACGCGTGATACTGCTACTGGAGCCTTTTTTTTTCCTTGTTTATTATTAAGGATTACGAGTACTACTTACGAATTCAAAGGCTTCTCGTTAAAGCGTCTTTTTGGCTTAGCTCATGTGATTGGAAAAATAAAAAAAAAAGGAAACTTATAATGAGAAAGAAAAGGAAAGGAAAAGAAAAGGTGTGCAAGCAGAAGGAACGCGTCCAGGCCTGCAACGGAACGGAAGGGAAGAGACGATGACGGTCAGCGCACGCAGCTGGCCCTGCCTCACTGCCTGCTGCCTCCGTTGGTGAACGCGCCCGGTCTATGCTGTCTTTTTTTTTATAAGAATTACAGGGCGTAGACACTCACAATGCACGCACACTTACTTCTACGAACACACGTACTCATTTCTATGAACACACGTACGTAAACCCTATCTTTATGAGCATCTTCGAAGGACTGAGCCGGCCAGCAGATCACGAGATTCACGAAGTCACCGCAGACGCCTCGCTACCACTGAAAGCATAGCGCTGTTAAATCCTGGAATAAATCCAGAAAATTTACGAACACTCGTGTCAAGTCGAGGACTTAAATCCAGGTAGGTAAATTCCACCATAAAAAACACAACCAACTATTCTATTATTTGATTCATAACAATGTTGTCTTTATTTTATCTTCTTTCTCCTCCCCTCTTTGTTTTCCTTGTTTACCGTTTCCTCTTCCTATATTTAATCCTCGTGTTTTCCTTATGTATTGTTTCCTCTTCTTCGTATATTTACCTCTTTTTTCTTTTTCTTTTTCTTTTTTGCGCCGCCACCTGTTCCTACAAGAACCACCTGTATTAATCTTCGTATATACTTGCTCCAACTGATCGAGGAGCAATTTTTTAGGTTAAAAGAGGTTTTGTTTATATATATATATATATACTGTTCTGCAGCTGGTCATAGAATAACTTATTATGTGATCACTTTGAGTTACAATAATTACCATGCTAATTTACGAGATTACAGTAATTCATTACTAAGTGATTTACTATAACATTATCGTGTATATATATATTAGTCAATGCATGGAAGCGCAGCAGTCTTGCGTAGTTGGCTCCATATATGCTGTCTGTATCCGACCCAGTTGGACACCGTGAATCAGAATCGACCACCGTCATCATTCACGCGTACTTACGTACAGTTGAACTGATCATAAGGAGAAACTGGCTGTCTGGATAATGACCCTGCGTGTTGTTTCATAAGGTACTACTATATAATTATAATTATTATTTAAATCCAGAGACCAGCCAGACATCAGAAAATCTCCCGGCAGCACAGCACAGCACAGCACAGGCACAGGCACAGCATGTAGACACGGCTGCCGTACGTCGTCGTCGTGTATGAGCAAGAGCATGAGCATGAGCATGAGCTGAGCCTGAGCTGGCTTCTTCTACCTCCTCAATCTATCTACGCATAATATACTACTAATAATAGGACTAGTGCTTACTTGGCCATCCATCCATCTATGCATGCCACGCGGTGTCAAGTTTGACCGGCCGCTGCCTGCTGAGTGATGGAGAGCAAATGGCAGCCGGAGGGATCGAGCCGCAGCCGGCCATCCCGCCACAACCAAAAATAAAAATAAATGTTTGCTCCCCAGCGCCAGACACCACTAGTTGCTACACAGAACGAGGAGAGCAAACAAAACAAAGCCATGGCTGGCCCATGGTGATGCTGATGCATGCTCAGCGCAGCCTCCGCCTGAACCTGATCCATCGCAAATGCAGCTGCCTGATGAGCTGGTGTGCCGTCTGTGCGGCGTGGATGCATGAAGCCATATGTGCCACTGGTTGACTGACTGGTCCATTGCATGCATCAACTAAGGTGGTGTTTGATTGCCCCTCCTAAATTTTAGTCGTTGTCCAATCAAATATTTGACACATGTATGGAGTATTAAATATAGACTAATTACGAAACTAATTGCATAGTTTGCGACTAATTTGCGAGACTAATCTTGTAAGCCTAATTAGTTCATGATTTGACAATGTGGTGCCACAGTAAACATGTGCTAATGACGGATTAATTAGGCTTAAAAAATTCGTCTCGTGGAGTACTGACGAATTATGTAATTTATTTTTTTATTAATATCCGAACACGCCATACAACATCCTCCCGACAAACATCCTAAATCTTAGTCACCGGATCCACCAACACCTAATAGACCAAACAATCATGCGCGGAATGTCAACAACATGCATGTGATGGATCTTCGTACACTCGACTCGACTAGAAACACTGTTCGGGTAGGATGAAATCCGTCGCTGTTATTGGAAACATTGTTCAAGCTGAAATTCTGTGCGAGAAAAACACGGTTCTAGCCGGAAAAAAAAAAACCAGCCAGCCAAAAGTTGCCAGCCGAGCACTCTCTACGTGGATGTGGATGTATCGAACGCCACGCCCGTAGCCCTGTACTGGCAACGTCTTTTTTTCCCCTTCTTACGGTAACGGAAGAAGTGCAGGGGCCAATTGGGGGATCCTCCCGCCGTGTAAATATGCTTGGATCTGGTGACATGTGTCTAAAAAATCTATCACACGGTTAGGAGGTAGAGTTTTTAGTTGGCTATTTTTAAGTATCCCGATGAATTTTTGTTGCCTACTTTTAGTTTTAGAATATCATATGGCCATACGATGGATTGCCTGCGACACGTGTCAGCAGATCCAGCAGTCTGCACGCAGGGGTTTCATCCAAAACAGATGCATGGCACGACTATGGAGAAGCACTCGAGGTAAATAATCTTCTTAACACCAACTTGCATGGTAAATCGCGGGCAATGGATGGGTTAAATTGAGAGCCATGGATAGGGCCACGTCGCCCGATAGCTCGGTAACTACCGGATCTGGCGAACAGGCGATGTCATCGACCGTCCTCTGTTGTGGTGTTCGTAGATATATCACCCGTCAAGCCATAAATCCAGAAAAGTCCCCATACCCATTTGCATGGGACACCCTCCTCCCCTGCGGCGCCGCCCCCCCTCCCCTGTACTAGTATGGACAGGTCAGCATCATGGAGCATGCAACAAATTATTTTAGCTAGTATGAATGCAGATGCAAGCCAGTACTAGTAATTAGCTGGAGTATGTAGTTTATTTTATTAACTATAATCGTATACATCGCTGGTGCGGTGCGGTCGTATGGCGCATGGATGGATCATCGTGCATTATTCATGTGGAAACTGGTGATCATTTGTTTGACCCAGTTAATCTCTACTGTACTTCCTCCGTCCGAAGAAAACAATGGCCCCGTTCGCTGGTCTGAAACTTGGTTGAAAAACACTGTTCCGGTTTGTTTGTGGTGAGAGAAAAACACTGTTCGGCTGATTTGATGAACAGTAAATTGTGAGGGTATTCAGCCGGCCGGCTGGTTGGTTCCAGACCAGCGAACGGCCTCAATAAGGATTCCATTTGTCCTTATGTTTAATTTAATCTGCTATCTACTACACCTAACAGATTTATGTGAAGCCACCTCATCGAAATTCACTAGCGCCGTCCTCTCCTGGGAATTGGAGAGACCAAGACGGACTTTCAGGCTCCTCTCGAGAGCAATTTTTTTAAGCGCCTCGACCTTCAAATACAAGTTGTACTATCCGAACTTACAAAGAAACTCAACACCCACTCACTCACACCACGAGTAAGCTAATCTACAACTTATACCTAGATCTACACGATACACGACCGAGATATATGATAGTTGTGGCCTGTCCGTGCGAGACATCCGAAAACTACCTTAAGGAACTAAATCCCGGTGAGCACCGCCTTTTTGAGCTGTTGGTGGGCAGTTGCACACCGCAAGCCGTTGCCAAGCTCGGTCTCCTCCTCCGAGCAATTGATGCATCTGAGCGTGGCGATTGGACTCATCTCTCCTCTGGTCCTACTTAAAGCCGGGATCGCCCACATCGCCGCTTCTCTGTTGTGCCTTAGCCTCGAGGCGGAGGGGCGAGTAGGGCAAGGTAGAGGCGGATCCGCCATGGATACCCACCCCAAGTTGATCCGCCGCCATGGATTCGAGTTGAAGGTCCTTTGGTGCTACTATAGTCCTATCGAACAAACTCGAATGTCACTTACGAGGAAGATGGTG